GGGGGGGGGGGGGGGGGGGGGAGCAGCAGGGGACACAGACCGACGCCCAGCAGGGAGGAGAGAAACTAGGGATGCACTGAATTTTTATCCGCATTTTCATCTGCTTTGGTACCATCAGCATTTTGCCCATAGTACCATTTTTGGCCCAAATATTTTGTCAGCTGAAAGTTCAGTACATCCCTAATCATATTCCTTATTACACCAACATGACTCCACTTTGGACCAGCAGCCATGGTTAGGTTGTGGATATATAATTTACCAGCATTGACAGTGTGTGTGTGCACGCTGCAGTTCAATGTTGTTCCAAACGTCCTCACCACAGATGAAGGCCTTTGGAGAATACCAGCCTAAAGCTTAAGGTTGGTTCCTAGCTCTTCAGCCAATCAGTGCACGCAAAAGCAACATCCAGACATGAATAGACAGCTAATCTTATGTCCATGTATATCTTTTTAAATAATAAGTCCCCATTCACACTGAGCGACATGAAAATCGCGTGAAAAAAGGGTCATGTAGGGGCGACAAGCTACCAGCGACGAGCTACAAGCGATATTGAGCGACGAGATGTGAACAGCTCCATTGAAATGGATTAGAGAAGCTACATAGAGCGATATCGCGTGGAAATATGAGCGATATCGCTGCAAAAATCGCTCGATAAATCGCTCAGTGTGGAAGGGGCCTTATGGTTTATTTTCACTTGCCCTTTCTTTTTTTTTTATAATAAACTGCAGCAGCCCCTGTACTAAAAGTTACACTGTCATACAGAACTGCAATGGAAACATCTCACAAAAAGAGAATAAAAAATGTACAAAATATTGTTCGCTTTACATATTCTTTAATTTTTGTCACAAGCCAAGTCATTGGGAACATTTTAGCTGAAGAGGTAGACCAGAATTGAAGCAAAGCTGCTTTCTGTAGCCAAGGTATGTATTTAATGAGTTATTACCTTTTAAAGACCAACACAAGTCTTGTAAAAATTATACAGATTAAGGGTGCAGTAAAATAGTAAGGGCTCAAAGTCATAACATTGGTTTGATTGTTAATGAAGCTGCCGTTCCCCTAAAATCAGCCCGACCCATGACAACTGCAGCCCCCAATCTCCACTGAATGACTACAACTTGGAAATCAGCAGGAAGTGTTAGAATTGCCGACCATAGTCAGGAAAAGGAAAAGAAAATGTGATAGAGGGGCACAGATGAGGCCTTTAGGTTAATAAAATATTTGAAGTGATAGGTATGCTACAGCACTTTTAAAATGGTGAATAGTCAATTATTTTGTAGCTAGTACAGGCATTCTTTTTTCAGCAAAAAGGGCAGTGTGTGTGTGTGTGTGTGTGTGTGTGTGTGTGTGTGTTTACATTTTAACCAATTTTCACTGAAATGTTAAGGGAAATAAATAAAAGGACAAGAAAAACAGAGCACAACAGAAACATGGACAACCTTACAATTCCTGGTCTCATTCTTTATCAGCAGCTTATTGTACAACACAGGTTTAACATAATACAGCAAACTATAGGTCCACTCTCATATAAATTGGAGTTCAGCACCCTAAAAGATCTCTCTGGTGACTTTTCTAGACATGAATCTGAAATGTCTGCTCTGTATAATATGTCACCTCTATTATTACTGAAATTTACTGGATGGCCCATGAGAGCGGCATAGCACACAAAGTGGTTTATTTTCTAACCGAGCAGAATTCAACTTTAATGAACTTCCTTCTATTGCCAGATAAATATTTCAATTATGAGGCTGAAACAATGCTCTTGGGTAAAAAGTGATCAATAAATGATAAATTACAATTTAACAGGATGGCTTGTGTCCAAGGTCTACGTCACTTTTCATCGAAGAGACTGTAGAGAAGGTAGTGAATAATACTTGGTGCCAAAAGGACTGTTCCGCCCAGCTTTGTGCCAGTTAACACCTAACAATTAAACTTCCTAATATCTCAGACAAAACAACGGCAACTTCCAATAAAGGCTTGATTTATAACTGCAGCATTTTGAAGTGGAACTTCTGCCAAAACATTTTCCTCTTTTGTTTTGGACGGAGAAATATTTCCAACAAGTACACAGGAAGGAACACCTTACAAAAGTGTAAATACTTCTCTGCGATTTGCATCCTTATATTGCAGTCTTTGAGAGATTCCGCTCCCCCCTAATTTTCTTTCCCCCTAGTGCCCACACAGGAAGCAAATGTAAGGTCTCTAGAAGGGACACAGACAACACAAAACCTGATAGAGGTTCTAAACCTTCTCATGTCGGTAAAAATGGGGGTGCTGGCTTAAGATTCACTTTATAAGGGTGTTTATAGTTTGAAATTAAACAAGCTGCCTCCCCATTGCCCTGCATACATTTTCTAATAAACTGTAATGTAAACAGCCTTTTTTTTTTTAAAGCTTCTATGCGGTCACGTGACCACAAAGCTCTGGCTCGGAGGACTTGGAAGGTTCCTGAATTCCACACAGCAGTGACTCCCATCTGCCGGCTGGAGAGAGTACACTTCCAGAAGCTGCACTGGCAGGATTTAGAGCCGGAGCTTCACAGTCACATTTGGGGCAATGGGGAGCACTGTGGAGGACACTTAAAAAGTTGGTTTAGCCATTCCTTCTACTTTGATTTGTATTAGAAGTAAATAAATGCAAATTAATTTATTATATAGAAAAGAATTTGCACAATTTAAAATCAGAGGGAGAAAAAAAAGCACATGGAAGGGGCTATTACATCTTATATGGAAACATTTTACTAGTTATCAATCAGCCAGTTGCAAATTTTGCCATTTGCAATGTATGGTATGTACTCATGAGAGACACTTATTTTAAAGTGACACTAAGCCCTCGTTCACACCTGAACGTTTTGTAGCGCGTTCCACGCTCGAAGAACGCTCTACAAAACGCTCAAAAATATAAATTGCATTGGAGTCAATGGACTCGTTCCCACCTTGCCGTATTTCCGCCCGTCCCGAACGCGCTACAAAACGGCCCGCGCCTGAAAAGGTCCCGGGACTACTTTGGGCCGTTTTGTAGGGCGTTTACCATTGGGATACTGCCAAGTAGCCTTTGGGGTCACGCGACTTTTTACCGCGAATCGCGGTAAAAAAAACTCGCGTGACAGACGCGCATATTACAATACGCCTAGGTGTGAATGGGGTGTAGATCCAATGTATCTTATTTGTGTATCACTCGGCTGTAGATCCTCAAATCATCTCTGAATTGGTGCTGACACTGTCCTTCCTTCTGGAGGGTGGCTACTTTGTTCCCCATGGCCCCTGTGTG